TTAGCAAGTGAGATGATGTGCGTTCAGTTTAGGGGATCACACTGGGGATCATCACTGATCCTTCTGACCTTTAAATCTGGAATAGAATAAATCTGGAAACGTTATCTATCTCCACACTGTAACCATTCCAGACTGAAGTTTCTACACGGTCTAAGTTAAATATTCTGATGGTTATGATAGAGTCTCAGCGTTCATATTTCTTCATGTATTTGCCTCAGAGTCTCCCAAGTTCCTCAGTTTAATTCCAGGATCAAGCCCTGAGGCTTCATATATACATCAAGTCAGAGACTGTATTTATGGTATATCTTGTACGGTACATACTAATCATGCCACCAGGACTTGAGTAATTGCAGTAAAGTTGCAAAAATATACTTGAGCTACTATTAAAATGCATACAGCTGTCACCAGAGCAGGTAGCTCATGAGTTTCTGTCTGCCTTGTAAGCCGGAGTACAAGAATTATGTTTTTATTAGTCAAACCACACTCTGAAAATCATTTCCCTTCATTAATTTTTCATTATAGCTATGATCAGTGGAATCCCTTACACCACTGTGCTGCTGTGGTGTCTGTGGAAGAGATGACTGCAGTGTCCAGGCTAAGAAGAGACTGGTGTATCCAGTCTGATGGATGAGGAGTATCAGATGAGGAGCGGAGCTAATAAAAAAGGAGTTATTGCCACTGGAACCCAAAATGTCCTCTAATTCCATCTTATTTCTTGTGTGAAGTCAAACACACACAGGAAACTACTCATGTGATCCCATGTGGGCATCTGAATCAGCTGCAGAAGCCGCCAGCTGAGCTCTGTGCTGCACCGGTGCTGTGGTGGGAGAGAGCGAGGTTCCAGCCAGCCCTGGGGGCTGAACAGTGGCACCTGAGTGAGGAAGTCCTGCTGGATCAAACTAACCATGCAGACCAGCAAGAGGGACAGGGACACAAGCTGTCTAGTTTACAGTAAACCAGTTTGAACTGATGAGGACTTGACTGTAGAAATTTTGGAGTGGCTAGTTCAGATAGGGCACTCCCACTTTAATCCTCATGTCATCCAAGTCTGTTAAGAACAAATAAAACTTTTTAGAGTTTCTGACATGCTGTGTCTACTTACACGATGGATTGTACAATTAATAAATGGGAAAATTGAAGGGATGTGCAATTAAGGTAGTAGGATGACTTATTCTTTCAGCCTAGCACACCAGGCATTCAGCCTGTGTATGTGTTCCTTTTCTATTAAAACCTAATTTTTTTTACGAAATTTTGAAATTCTTTCTCAGCCCCTAAAAATGCTTATTTTACCAAAAAGCGAAATATTTCTTGTTGGAGGTTTAAATATTATGTCTTGAAATCTTTATATCTGTTTTCTGGTTCTGACTTGAGATAGTTAATTTTCTTGACAGTAGGTGGTATAGGGGACCCCTGGTGCTCTAGTGGTTAGGATGCAGCGCTCTCACCGCTGCGGCCCGGGTTTGATTCCCGGTCAGGGAAACTCCCCTGGGCAGATGGAGCTCGTCAGCCCTGTAAGGCCATCCATCCAAGAGAAGGTCACTCTAAACAAACCTACATCCTGAGGACCTCACTGCCACTGTCCAAGCTCGCTCGGCCCCGGCAGATGAACCTTAGGATTAAAGGGTGGGCTCAGCTCAGCACACACTGTGTCTCACCTAAAAAATCCACTGCGCAGGCTCAAAGGGTAAAGACCTTTCCCAAATCTTCGTTCGCGAAGACTGGCCATGAATAATAAGGTGGTATAGGGCTGCGTTTTGGATTTGTTGGAAACAGTGTTGGTAACACAGGGATGTTTTAGCTATCACTGAGCAGTGCTCACACAGGGTTAGGGCCTTTTCTGCTTCTCACTCCACCCCACCAGGGAGGAGGCTGGAGGACACAAGAAGTTGGGAGGGGACACAGCTGGGACAGTTGACCTTAAGTGATCACAGAAATATCCCATATGGCATCATGCTCAGCAGATGAAGCTGGGAGAAGAAGGAGGAAGGAAGGGACATTCAGAATGATGGTGTTTGTCTTCCCAAGTCACCATTACATATGATGGAGCCCTGATGTCCTGGAGAATGGCTGAACAGCTGCCTGCTCAGAGGAAGTGGTGAAAGAATCCCTTGTTTTGCTTTCCTTGTGAACACAGCGTTTGCTTCCCCTATTAAACTGTTTCTATCTCAACCCATGAGTTCACTTACTTTTACTCTTCCTATTCTTTCACCCATCCCACTGTGGAATGTGAGTGGCTGGATAGGGCTTAGTTGTAAGCTGGGTTTAAACCATGACTATATATAAATGTATATGTATGTGTGTAATCTGAACCAGTTGGACTGTTTTTCCTGCTCCCCATCCTCGCTTGAGACACCTCTGGTGGGCTTTCTTGCTGGCTATGTGCCAAGGCCTACCCTGGTCCCACAGTTTTCTGTCTCCTCTTGGTGGACTGACTTGCCTGCTGCTATTTCTGTGTTAGGTTGCAGAGCTGGGCAGCAGCACGCTTTGTCAGCAGATGAGTGGTGCTCCCTGGGGTCAGGGCCAGAACAAAGCACAGGAAACACACCCAGGAGCATGAGACAAACTGTAAATGACTCTATTTGCATCATCTTCTATTTGTGCAAGCAGCTGCTAGACATACTTCCCCCTGGAAAGGCTGGTATCAGTGGTATTACCATGTGGATAAAGAGTGCTAATTTTTTAAAGAGATTGATGGGATTTGTAGTGAAGCTGCAGCCCACCATGGCACAGGCAGAAGAGACCTCCACTCTAGCACTAACCTGGAGGGGAAGTCCTGAACTGTAGTGCCGTGTTTCTCCTCTCTCTCTGTCTGTCCAAGTGTTTTTAATAAGGGATGATTTTTCAGCATGAGCACAGCAGTAGACAGTCTGAGCTTTCTGGAGCTGAGCTGGCATACAGGGACTGTACTTCTGGCTCTGGAGTTAGGATGAGTGGGGCCAGCTCAGATATCTCCAATTAGTGTGCAGGTCTAAATCTTTAGACTTAACCCCTGTGTTCACAGTGCACGGCCATTGAGATGTCATCTTTAGATGAGAGGAGTGAGCTGTTGTCTCTGGTAGTCAGCAAGACAGAGATCTGCATCTCTTCTGAATAGAAGGTGCACCTAATATTTTCAGAAATATTCCTACTTCCATTAAAACCCAATCTTGTGACGTTACTCAGATTAAAAGGAAGGTTTTGATTCCTGGCTATGAAGTAAGTAATATGAGACCTATGCCTCTTGGAGAGGTGGCCTCTTGTTGCCACCAATGTACCCCAGAGGTTTCCTTTCTTCTTTTCCAACGCCCAGGGCTGAAGCTGAGTATTTATTGAGTGACTGATGGGTGTTATGTCAGCCTTGGTTCATTGCACCACCAGTGCAGTGTAGAGGCTGTGCAGAGAGACCTCAAACACCCTGGTTGTAGCATAAACTATAAAAGGGAAACAAGTCAAAGGCATTTGTGGGCTTTCTGCCCACCAGGATCTTATGGAAATGTATGGTTTTCACCTTGCTTTTCGAGGGCTAGTGTGATATTGATACCTTTTCTTCTGTGAAAGTATTTTTCACAGTGCTTAGATTTATGCATGAAATCATCTTTATCCATTTGGAGGAGCAGTCTGATCAATTACAAAGGTAATCCTTCACTGATGGGAACTGAGAAGGCTCTCTAATGCTTGCTCTGCAAGGCTTGCCAGGCTTATCGCTTATTCTGGGACAGAATTTTATGGACAGCCAATTTCACAGTTCCTAATTTAACCACATCAGCATGTCTTAAATCTGTCTTAAGCTGTAGCTGTTCTAAAATCTTTGGTGTTGATAAATATCTCAGTCTGCTGCCCATGAATGATATTAGCAGCTTTCTCTGACATTCACATTCAGTCAGATTATAAAAGTAAAATATCATCTAAAGTACATGAAAACAGCTCTTTCCAGACTATTTAGAAACAGTACTTCAAGGCTGTTCTGGTAAACATGTAAAAATCATTCCTCCAAGAACTTTCAGTAAACTGCCACTTAAAAGGAGAGAAGCACCTCCCTCTGTGCTGTTCTTAGTGCTAAAATGTAGGAAGTCAGTGGCAGGTCCAGTCTCCAGCATGGTCCCTATTACATGAGCACTTGAGTGCCAGGCCAGGGGCACGATTCACCAAGGAGCACCAATGTAGGCTTTTGTAAAGCTCTGGCTACAAGAAAAGGTAAAATTTGGCTGGGTGCATCCCTGCCATGTTTGGGTTAGGGTGTTCCAGTGATTTCTGACTGATAATGTTGTGAGCAAGAACAAACTTGGGCACAGAGTGATGCAAAGAGACCTACAACACAAGACAGTCAGATGCCACATTGTCCATCCAGTTTTGGGAGGCAGGCCTGTGTACATAAGCAGGCCTTTGTGTAACCAAAATATTAACATATATGGAATAGATGTTATGATTTTGGCTGTATGGTCAAATTACTTGCCAAATTTCCGCTAGTTTAATCATGATCTAATTTGAAATAATTAAATAAAGTATGTTGTTTTTAGAACTACTTTCTTATCTCTAGGGCTATGAATATCATTGCTGTCATAGCTAGAATAGTTTTTTATAATAACCTGTAAGTTTAACTGGTAAAATTTACAAAATGCTCCGTAAACAAAAGTCACCAAAGCAGATTGCTAACTTTTGATCCTCAACTCCATCCCAACAGCTGTGCCATAAGGTGATGTGGAAACCACGGGTTTAAACTTGTTAAGCTTTTATAAAATTGACCTGTAAAGTTTAAATCCAGGCCTGTATCTAAAATTCAACTCAATCCATGTTACATCTTCTACCAGATTCCTGACTGATGAGGATTCTTGACCTAGAAATCTAGGTCTGATTTGCTAGTGAGATCTTAAACCAATACACAAATCAAACACAGGCCATATGAGGGAAAAGTATGGGGTTGAGTGGAAATGTAGGGACATGTGTTTTATATTTGGTTTAGTTCGTTAGAAAACAGTATGCTCTTGACTTTTGGTCAGTTAAAAACATAAAATAATGGAACATGATGGAAATTTACAATTCAGACTTTATTCTGCATTTCTTGTACAGATTCCTTATGACTTTTAGCACAAATAATAAATAAAATATCAGAATTGTAGTACCCACTTTTCTAGAATCAATTGCTTCAAATATCTTCAAGTCTAAACAACCATGATGTAATAACTCTAATAAATGGACATGTGCAAACTTACAAGCTTAGAACTTTTGTTTAAACTAAGGAACTCTTTGGCTTCAGCTAGCAAGAGCCTGGGCTTTGTTAATCAGATTTTTCTTGTATTCTTAAAATTGTATTTGTAGTCAGTTTCATTTGATTATGTTTTTGATTTGTCCAAACAGCAGATGGATATGATAGAGTCTGTATTTAACTTGGCACTTTCCATTCCACATTCCTTTACTATTCATAGCACAGCAGACATACCCATCTCCAGTAGACATAAAAGGAGGCAGTTCAACTTGCAGCTGCAGTTCCCCTCAAATGTGTGAGTATTTACAAACTCACAGCATTATTTCTTTCTAATGTTGAGAAGACCAGATACTAGATATAGTGGGTGGATATTTTTTCATCTCTGCCACTCTCATGAAAGAGTGGAACAGAAATTAAACCTGTGTCTGTAGTAAAAGGAACCTCTTCACTTAAAATTAGATTCATGTAGAGCCCATGTTCTTACGGAGAGAGTGGGACTATACACAGGCAGAAAAATTTGCTCTTCAAGAGAGAGTTGTGAAATCTCAGTCTAAATTGTCAAGCAACATGAAGAATAAAATACGCATTTGATGGAATAAGAAGACTACCTAAAATGCATAAGAATAAAGGCATTTGTGTAAGAATAATGTCTTTTTATTACCAGGTTTCACAATGAAGAATTTGATCCTTTTGAGCATTTGTAAGCAAAAATTTTTTTCTTCAGTTGATAACATAGTGGAAAATGTTAAACAAAACCAATTTTCTAAAATGTCTTTAAATGTTTTCTTTTAAATTAATTTGTCTTTGACAGAAAGTATAATTTCTACTTACTTTGTTTTCAAGCAAATGTAGTCAGTGATTATTCTTTTTTCTTATAGCTTCAAATATGCAATACACTTCTAAAAAATAGTCTCTCAAGACTTATTTTGGTATACAAGCTTGAACTGTGGAAATAGATATTTTTTTCTTGATAGTATTTTTCAGTTTGTATGCTTTTCCAAAGAGAAGAATTTGATTTCAAAAATTAGAAAGCACCTTTTTTGGTACATAAATTAAATTTCCATAACTTGTCTATTGCCCATAACTCAAAACTAACTTACAACTTGTCTATTGCTTCTTTAATCTTTATGACTATGTATGACAAATGCTTATTTCTTTAGAAATACAACTCCTCCTACTTAATTCAAAAATATACTTTATTTTTAATGTACTATAAAATAGATTTTTTTTTTCTCTTGCTGAGACTAGCCTAAGTTTCCTACTCTTCAAACAGCCTGGCTTTCCAACATATATGTAGCTGGAGGCAAGCAGTCTACCATTCACATCAAACAATAAACTCAGCATACTGAAAAACCTATGCAAAGGCTTTCCTTTACTGTAATATAAATACAGCCACATGCTTACCACACTCTACAGCGTTGCATGAATGATATTACTTTGTTATATTAATTAAGAATGATTTTATCTCACCAATAACTACAGACAAGGTTCTAATTCTTTCCCACCGAGTTCTTCATTTCAACAACCAAAATGCCATCATGGCAGAAAAGTGCAGACAAGTCTTTGTTCTCCACCCCATCAGGTAATTTGTACTGTCTGGTAAAGCTTCTGGATATGAAACCATGTTCATCCATCCTGGGTCCGTGTTGAGCTTTAATCAGGAGCCAGCCTTCGAAAGTCTGGATAATGATATCTTCGGGACGGAACTGCACAACATCCAGCAACACCTGGAAGCGTGTGTTTTCCTCCTCCTGGCCACTCTCCCCTGCCCCAGTCGTGCTTTCTGTGGTGCATCTTTGGTTGCTCAGTGCTGCTGTAGCAGGGCCTGGCAAAGCATATAAAAGATGGTTCAGTTTGTGTGTTTCCAGCTCTTGGTCAGCAAACTGCTCCTGGTAGCGTACAGGAGTTTCCACCCAGTGTCTTATAACAGCTTCTGCCATGGCTGAGGCAGAAAGATCAGCTGCTACTCCTGCTGCCTTGGGAAGCTGCAGAGTCAGAGTGAGCCCTTCCCAGCCGTATGTCTCACCCACAGACTAGTCTGTCAGTGGATGTCGCGTTTCACTTTTAGAACAGGCAAAGCTTAACATTTAATACAGCATCCTGTGCTCCAGTGCCGGGAGACTTGTTTCGTCTTTTATCCACTAACAATAGAGCACTATTTATAGTGCTGAGGCCTTGAGTGGCTTCAGCACATGCACAGCTTTCATGCATGACTAGTAAAAGCAAAATTTTAATACACCTCAGATTATTGCAATATTATTTTGTTTATCATTATAAATAATGAGCACAAAAATAATATCTGATTGCAAGGCAAATAATGCCTGCAAGGGTAAATAGCTAAGAGAAGAGTGCAGTGAAAAGGGAAAAGCATTTCTAAATTTTAGCATGTTTGCTAGAAAATCCCTATAGCTGGGCTTGGTAATGTAAAGCAGAATGTGTTGTGGCAACTGATGGTGAAAATTGTTTATTTAATTTATTAGTGCAACAATAGTTGCCCTAATGCTAGAAATCATCAAACAAGATACTTTTATTCCTTCTCGTTTGGCTATTCTTGTTTAGAGTTCTATTTCTTGTCCTTACATGTTCCATTACTATGGAAATGGCAAGTCAATTCAAATGGGATTTTTGGTTCATAATGGAGTAATGAAGAAAGATACTTATTAAGTTATTAAATTTCAATACTTATCAGAAATTAAGTTCTGTATTGAGTTCATAGCAGAGCAGGATTACCAGACATATCTATAACTGAACCTCTATGTTTGCTATCTTATTTTAAACCCATAAAGGCTACATAGCAATGTAAGGAAATTTTCAGAAGTTAAAGATAACTTACATTAATGCATTTAATTGAGTATTGTGAGAAATGAGAGTTATACTACTTTATTGGCTTCTTCTCCTGTTAAACTGCCCTTCAGAAATAATTTAAAAATGCTATTCTGGATGTTTGACTGACTGAAATTATAATAAAAACAACCTGGAGCATTGCCTGTTATCTGTTTGGCAGCTGTTTTCTGTTTTGCTAGCAAATTATTTACTTGATGAGGAAAACTTTAACCCTAAAGTGAAGCAGTATGCCTGGCTGGTTGTGATATGATACTTAAACATATTGCTGAAAACTATTGCTGTTCCTACTGAATTCCGTGATGATAACCTGATTTATTTCACTTCAGTTTTGCACTTCATTAATAAATGCACTGTGGAGGAATATAACCTTTTTTTTTTCTTTTAAATTTAATTTTAATTATTCACATAATCTCTGGAAAAAGGTAAACTTGCCCATACTTTAACTTAAAACACAAATCACCATCTCAGTGCAAGTCACTGTGGGACAGCTGTATCTATTCGCAGAAGCAGCTGTGTTAGTCTTTCAAATGTCTATGTTAAGCATACTTGGAACTGTCTGTCTGCTATAATTAGCATGAAAGATGCTTTGAATACCCTTTAAATTCATGTCATATGCAAAACGCAGAAGTTCATAGGATCCCTTTCTACTCTGTATGGTAACGAATCAGAAAGATTTTGGAAATGAAGCCTTCCCATCCTGCCCTCTCCTCTGTTGCAGTCTCTTCTTCTCTCATTTTACCTCTGGTAGGCTCAGGAATTAGCATCGTGCTTCTTATCTCTTTGTTACTAACATGGGGAATATGACAAGTGGAAAAAGCGAACACCCTTGAAATGCAAACATCAATTTAGAATATGTTTTTGGGCTTTCAGATTTAAACATGGTTGCAGTGCTGCAATACCGAGGCACTTCTGATGCTTATGGTGCTGTACTCTTCAAGTATCTATAGCAGGATTTGGTTTGGCAATGCATTTTAATAGCAATTGATTACTGTGGTAATTTTAAACCTTCAGAGCTGATCCGTTAGGAGCAGGATCGACGTTCTAAATCTCCCAGGTCGATGCCCAAGGTTTTGTTTCCTGGTTTTGCTGTGTACACAAAGGCCTCTCTCCGTACTGCCCAGCGAGCAGGAATCCACCGGCTGGCATGACAAAGTACAGCAGAGCACCCGGGCAGCTCGTCACGGCGGCCGTGCACTCGCCGGGCCCTGCTCTCTCTCGCTGACCACACGTGTTCATTGTCTCCCAATCTCCTGCGGGTTTTGGAGATCGGGACCGGGATCCGCGTGATGCAGCCGGCCTCGAGAGTGCGGAGCCGGGATCAGCGGGGCGCAGCGGCATCTCCTGGAGAGGACGGGGAACAGCTGCGGAGGAAGAGCCGCCGGCACGGACGCCGCCTCCTGCCTGTGGAACATTGCCCTGGGAACGCGCTCCTGCGGGAGGAAAAGCGGGATTTAATTTATAGCGCGCTATTTTCACGCTAGTATAAGTCTCAGTATTTTGGAAGGGGGGGGGGGGGGGGGATCCATGATTCTGAGTTGCATCAAAAGCAGCGTGGCGAGCAGATGATTCTCCCTCTCTGCTATGGTGAGACCCCACCTGGAGTGCTGCATCCAGCTCCGGAGTCCCCAGCGTAAGATGGGCATAGATCTGTTAGAACAGGTCCAATGGAGAGACATCAAGATGGTCACGTCAAGAGGAGAACCTCTCCTCTAGGGATAGGCTGAGAGAGTTGAGGAGCTGGGGTTGTTCAGCCTGGAGGAGAGCAGGCTCCAGCACCTTCCAGTATGTAAAGGGGGCTTTGCAAGAGAGCTGGTGAGGAATTTTTGGCAAGGTCATGTAGTGATAGGACAAGGGGGAATGGCCTCAAACCGAATGAGAACAGGTTTAGATTAGGTATTAGGAAGAAAATCTTTACTGTCTGGGTGGTGAAGCATTGGAATAGATTGACTGGAGAAGCTGTGGATTCCTCATTCCTGAAAGTGTTCAAGGCCAGGTTGGATGTGGCTTTGAGCAACCTGATCTACTGGGTGGCATCTCTGCTTATGGCAGGGGACTTAAAACTAGATAGTCTTTCAGATCTTTCATGTTCCCTTCCAATCCAAGCCTTTTTTGGATTCTGTGATGCTGTGAAATATAGACAGCAGGCATCCTGGTAAAGCTGTATTGTAAATTGTAAAAATGTAACATGAATAAAGTAATGAGAATAATGTATTTTTCATGCATGTTTTAAAGAAAATCAAGTTCACCCTGCTTGGCACAACTTTAAAATAATAAATTGCCCTGTTGCAATCCTTGGTGTGCTTGATTCCCCAAAGAGAAATTTGTGTTTTAGCTACCACTGAAATTCAGTAACAGCTGAAAAGGGAAAAATGTGAAAAGGCTGGCACGATGAAGTGAACGAGAACTCTTACAGTAGAAGCTAATGGGCTAATTTCAAATCAGTCATATAATTATCTAAACGAATTTAGGTGGAGCTCTACAGTTACTTTTATCAAAGCAACCAAGGATCTACTCATGATCTACTTCCTGTGTCATTTAAAAGAGATATTGCCTCTTCAGACTTTGCAATACATATGAAACGTAAGGAAGGGTAAGACTACTTAGTGAGTTTTACCCGTGCTGTCTGTTACACCCAATATGGGAATATAAGCTCTGTTGTGATACCAAAAAGCTAGATAGTAAAATAAAATATATGTGAGATTGGAATGGGGTGACACATAGAGAAACTCAATGGTAAAGAGTTCCATGCAGTATTTAATGTATTTGTTTAGAGTGAGAAAGTTACTGTCTCCTGCTTCCATCCCTTTGAGTCCATTGCTCCTTAGAACTATGAGCTGTCTTTTTAGCTGAATTGTTAGATCTAGAGATTTGTAAACTCTGAAGGAATCAACAGTGTAACCGCAAGTCCTGCAAATGCCTAATCAGCAAATACTGAGTGTTCTGTTTTCAAAAAATATTGAGGGATTTTTTTTTTAGTAACATCTCATTCCAATCCAACATGCTGTTTATATTGTTTATATTGGTCAGTGAATCACAACATAACTCTTTCTGCAGCAAGACTTTGTGCTGTGTTGTAAAAATTCTTGCAAATAGTAAAGGCTGTGTTGTTACATAGCCAGCTTTACTGAAGGGAGGCTTCAGTCTGTGGGTCATGTCCTTCAAAACCTGGAAAAGGCTAGATCTGCCCAAACTCCTGGAAAATCTCTCCAGGGCACTGATGCTCTCTTGTAACTGTTAACTCAATCTCCTAATTTTAGGGGCCTTAAGAAGTGGAAAACTAATCCCAGCTTTTGCACTAAGGATTGTTTGCTCATTTTTTAGGAAGCAATGTAAGAAATATAAGTAATAATGGAATGGACTATCATTTTTACACATTACAACTACTATCAGAAGATTTTTTTTTACACATTCAGATGATAGAAGAGCAGATGAAGGATGAGGATGGAGGATGACAGGACCACAGCAGCTGCTGTTCGAGCAACGTCTTTACAGAACAGTGAAGGAATAAAAATGCAATTTGTGTAACAATGATTTTAAAATTTCAAGTCGCTGTAATAGTTATTTTAAAGTGATGTCATGGAACACTTTACCTGTATTTGCTTCGTTTTTCACATGGCTGATTTTTAAACATTTCTATGTCTGCTATAGGCAAAAGCATCTGTGCCTCACAAATGCTTGAAGAACTTCCATGGAAAACAAACTCTTTAGAGTGATAATAATCTGTTTAATTCTTGCAGAGAGAACAGTTGAGAGAAAATGAACAATTAAAACAGGATAATGTGCCTAAGGACTGGAAAGCTCTGTTTTGCTATTGCAAGTCAGAATCTAATGCACTCTTGCTGTAGAAACAGTCTTACTTTTCACCAGTTAAAAATCAACTAGTGTTCCAAGAAGAATGCCAGTTTTCAGGTTCCTTCCTCTTCTGCCGCCCTGAAGTCTTTACTTTAGACTTGATAGGAATAACTCAAGGCAGTGGAGTACAGTAAGACTGGTGTATTTATTTTAGATCTATTAAAACTCCATAGCTAGTGCTCACATGCATATTTATCAAGTGAAACTCCTATTCCATGGATTTACAGCTTCAGGCTTGCATGTTTTGAGGTTGACCACTTTAATAAAAATAACACAAGTACTCACCTATGAAGTTCTGGAAGTAGCAATATTTTTGCTGTTTAAAATTATGTACTAAGGCTTCTTGGAGTAAGGGCTTGATAATCTAGGACCCAAATTACACATAAAACATGCTAACCTGTAATTAGCACAAAACACCCATTATCTCCTTTTGTTTAGGTTTTTTTTCCCTAAGAACAAAATGAAGACTGAAGTTAAATAGTTAGAATGAATATGTTTGTCAAAATTATTACTGGCCAAAAATAATTGAACTTACTAAATGAATTCTGAGATTTAAAAATTTCACTATGTTCAAATGTTGAAAAGGACTAAAGGTATAACTGAACAAACTTGTGTTTTCACTGCCACCGTGAAAATATTGTATTATGACATAAGTGTTTGAGTCAAAACAACACTATAGAATACTTATTTTCATGCATTTAGGAAATTTTAGAGCTGTGAGCAATATTTTCTGAGTATTTGCTAGCAATATCAGATATTATCCAAGATATCAGCTGAATGGGCCTAGATATGAAGGTGGGTTGTGGCTCTAGCTAAAGTCTATGACTGTGGCACAGGCTACTGAATGAAACCACTGATTTAAGGTGCTCTGCATCTTTTTTGTCTTGTAGGTGCAACTGGAATCAGTGAGATTTTTCTTTAATATCAAGAATCCATGAAAACTTCTCAAATAACATAAGTCACTCACCACCATGCATCACCAAGGTGGGTAAGTTCCCTAGGGCCAAGGAAGGAATCCCTGATAACTCAAAACTCTTTGAGACTGAGTGTCGACATCTTGATGTGAAAGGTTTGCTATGGTTAGTGAAAAATTCCTTTCTGGAATGACAAAAATATGCTGTTCAATACCAG